ACTGAATAGGTTCACAAAATTTATGAAAAGGGAGATATTGCTCAATAATACATGTGGCTGGAAAAAAAGTGCTCAGTTTTAGTAACTGCTGATGACAGCCCTCTCTGCAATCACGGAGGTCCCCCACCTCCACCCGTCATGTCCACAACCCTCTGCTATTCAAAGGCTTCTAGGCTTCTAAGGAATTACTTAATGTAAAAACTGAGAAACTATACTGGCCGAGGAGGTACCAAAATCTGGATGCAAAAGGCCCTTAAATCTTTTTTAAAACCTCCTTTTCAGCTGCTTCAAATCCTTTTTGCAATAAGCCAGGAATATGGAAGGACAAATGAATGGCCAGTTGGCTAGACTACATCCTCCTCAATCTGATCACACCCACAGAGCAAGCAAACAAAAAAAGCATAAGCAAACAGACACAGGTGATATCGCCAGGCATCCAACAAAGTTAACTTTCTTCCAATTGTTTTAATTAACATTCCACACTGAGCTGCATCCATCAGAGGAAGAACTGCAATCCTTCAGGTATTTTTACCTCCAGTTATAAAACAGAGAAAATAGAAGCCTCAAATGAGACACACACACACCACAACCCTAAGCCATGGCTGCCCGTTAATGAATGGCCTCTCCAGCTTTGCTCTCACCATACTTACAGACTTTACAGCTCTTACATGTGCTGGAATTACAAGTCATTAAAAAGCCACTTTGAAAACACAATAAAGACCTTCTTCTCTGACTGCAACAGCCTCCCATTGCATAAAAACCTAAGGCCAGTGCTTCAACAGCGGGACGTTTACTGCCAGCTCCAGACAGTTTCAGCAGGGCAATGAACAGGGTGGGGCAGGAGGAAATGAGGCACAACAAAAGAAGAAGGGAAGTTTCTTTTTCCTTCTTTTCGAGAGAAGCTTCTGGTAAGGTGATTTAAAGTATTGACCCTGTCTGTATCTGACCCATCATCCACTCTTGGGAAAAATGCTGCATCTGATGAGATTTTGTTTTCTCCCTCAGGTTTTATCCAAGAAAACACTTTTCCAGGAAGCCCAGACTAGTAAAGAATGTGAGTACAATCTCATTTCTCACACTGCAGGTTGCAGTATGTAACATTTTATTTACCAAATGAAATTTGCCCATTTTCAAGGAAAGATAATTAAAACCCTTGGCTTCTTCACTTTTAAATTATGATTAAATCTATAAAGCGAGGCAAAAAAGAAAAGGCAATGATAAGAAAATTACAACCATAACCAAACCTAATTATAAATGGTTATTTCAATTTACTGTGGTTTTTTTCCTCCTCCTCTGTTAGGAATACCAATGTCACGAAACGTGACTGACTCATAGAGGTCTCTTTGGAAACAGAGTCAGCATACGAAGAACAAAATGGGAATTTTACAGAAGCAGTGAAAAAATATTTGAGTTCCTTTTTTATTATCAATTAAAGCTTAAACAGGTTAATAAAAACCGAATTATAAACTTTTAGTTGACACTCATATACTCAGACCCTCACCTTTCCAGCCGCTAGTTAGTGTCAATCACCAATAAGAACAGACGCTAAGTAGTAAGTACAACAGACCACATGCCCACAAAGAGATGAACTGCTTCACTCTAATCGTTCTTCAATGTAAAATATTCTTAATAGAAACATTTCTTTATTATGCTTTCTCTATTTGCTAAAATGCTCACTCAGTATAAGCCAGTCCTTTGCCTCCTTTCCCCCTCCCTGCCCCCAAATTCTTCCGTAGGGGATAATTATTGATGGACTTCCATATGACAATATTATATTTCTTTATGAGAAAGCTTTCAAGAATCACCAAGTGTATTTAAAAATTGCTCTTTCAGGCTTGGTGCCTGTAGATCAGTGGCTAGGGTGTTGGCCACATAACACCAGGACAGGCAGGTTCAAACCTGGCCTGGGCCTGCTAAACAACAATGACAACTACAACCAAAAATTAGCTGGGCTTTATGACAGGTGCCTGTAGTAGCTACTTGGGAGACTGAGGCAATAATCACTTATGCTCAAAGAGTTTGAGGTTGCTGTGAACTGTGATGCCACGGCATTCTATCGAGGGGCAACATAATGAGACTCGGTCTCAAAAAAAAAATTGCTGGGCAGCACCTGTGGCTCAAGGAGTAGGACGCCGGCCCCATATACGGGGGGATGGCGGGTTCAAGCCTGGACCTGGCCAAAAAAAAAAAAAAAATGCTCTTTCAGTTATATTACCATTAACCCTCAAATAAATTATTTCTTAGGATGTTTTAACAATAACAGCAAAAAACCCCAAAACAAATCCCTACCAAGTGCCTACCCAATGTAGTGCTAGGTGTGTTCTGGTCCTTTATCTTATTCAATAAAAGAGCTGAAAAATCCTGAGAAACTTTGGCTTAAATTTTGGTTTAAAACTTAAGACTCTTTGTCCTGTATTTTTATAGCGACCCTATATCACAGGCCATATACCTCCTTAGGATGAAATTCAGAGCAAAGTGACAGACTCTAAGTACTCCCCCACCTTAAAAGGATATACGCCCACATGGTTGAAAAGGGCACTTAAGTTCTGCACTATTTGTGATATCAAAAATAAAATCTCTTTCAAAGCTACAGGTTGTAAAGCGAAGCCAACTCATATATAACAATACCTAGCTTTTTTTGATTAGTGTTTAACTGCTTTACCCAGCTTGACTTATTTAATTTTCACAATAATCCTACAAAGTAGATGCTATTTTGATCTCCATTTTAAAGAGAAAACTAAGAGACAGGGAAGGTTAAATCATTTGCCAAAGATCACTGGTGTGTTGGGATTCAAAATACATCGCAGACAGTAAACCTTTAATTACCTACCTACCTTTTCACTTAACAAATAAATGATCCCTCGAAAAAGTAAGCAAGCATACAAACTATGGATGTCCATCTTCTTTCTCTCTTCTAATGCACAAACTATTTAAAACTCTGGCCAAACAGTGCCATATCGATCAACAGTCTAAGCTCCCTAATCTATCTTAATAGTACTAATTTTGATTTTTACATAAAACCTGAATCTAACTTGATTATGGAAAAGCTTCTTTAAAGTATTCCTCCAGTCTGGGTGTGGTGGTTCATGCCTGCAATCCCAGTGCTTTGGGAGGCCAAGGCATGAAGATCACTTGAGGTCAGGAGTTTGAAACCAGCCCCAGCAACATAGCAAGACCTCATTGCTGCAAAAATAAATAAATAAATTAGTCAGGCATGGTGACAGGTCTCAGTAGTCCTAGCTATGAGGAAGGCCAAAGCAGAATGATTATGTGAGTCCGGGCCTAGTTTGAGGGTGCAGTGAGCTATGCCACTGCATTCTAGCCTGGGGAATGGAGTAGACCCTCGTCTTTTTTTTTTTTTTTTTAAGTAATCTTCCTTTTAACTGTAATAAACCTATATTAAGGCCAAATGTTTTCTTTGCAGACAAAACAGATGAATAATCATTTTCCTCAGAACTTCCTAATCCTTCAAACTATTCTCATTCCCTTTTGGTGTCTTTTTTCTATTTCCAAACTCCATGATCTCTGCCTCAATAAAGCCAATTAAAAAATACTATCACCAGCCTTCCACCTATGAAAACAAATTACTTCACTCCAATAATCAGAACACCAACATTATAGCTTTGATATTTTCTAAGTTTCTCCTTGAATTCGAATTCTATTGTACTCTTCTCATCCTCCTAAATCATCAGTTGTCTTTTTACATGAGCACAATAACTAAGTTTTAATGAGCACCTAAATTTTCTGCTGCTGTTCAAATGACTTATTACTACGTAGTGGAATATATCTTTCCTTTAACAGCTTAAATAACAGCCTGAAAATCTACAACTTCCTTAAAGATTTCATTTTCTTCTTTGTTTGAGACAGAGCCTCAAGCTGCCCTCCCTGGGTAGAGTGCTGTTGCATCACAGCTCACAGCAACCTCCAA